AAGGATTACACGCCTGATGGTGAGCACCTGCATTTTGTTACATTGTTGTATTCAGTTGTATTTACTTCTGTGGGCCATGGCTGCAATATTGATATATTGGCCAAGAGAAGCAGAGACAGGAGAAAGAAGAGGAGAAAGGGCGCCAGAGAGCCCAGAGTGAAGACCTGTGGGGGTCTTGGGGGGCTGCAGGCTGCCTAACCCCCCTCCCCCGCACCCCTGCCTGCCATGTAACTGGTTGCTGCACTATATGTAAAGGCTCAATAAAAGCCTGAGAAGCCACCGAGGGCTCCAGGACTCTCCTTTACCCATCTACTCCATTCATAGAAAATCTGCTCTGTGCCTACCTAGCACTACACCATGGCAATGTTAAAGAAATGATAGAGCTAACAGAATTTAGAAAGTAGAAGGGGCAAAGAAATAGGAAAGGTTTAAACGTGTCAATCTGTCTTACAGAGTGAGGAGCTAATGTAGATTTTGAAAGTTGAAAATGCAAGAAGAGGATGTTGAAAGTACTTAAAATACATTATTTGAATTTCAGTTTACCATGGAAGAGTAAAAATAGTAGGAGGAAATAGTTTAAATTGTCTAAATCAGGACGTCCCTGGTAGCCTTGGCTTGAGTCTCAGCACTATCACTGCTAAGGCCTGAGTTGGATCCAGGCAGGGAGTTAACCCACATATGTTGCAGCAGACCTCTCCTGTCTCACCCGCTGCTTCTCTTAGCAGTGTATTTCTGTATATATGCCTGTTCTGCTCCCCACTCTGTCTCTGGTGAATCCTCTAAGCCCCTCATCCCCTGGCACCTCTGGCCTACATCTCAGTTCTACACACACACACACATTTTCTAAATCATATAAGACAAGTGAAGACACAATGTCAAACTGATAAAATAGTTATAGAGACATTTTAATTTACAAGTACAGAAGCAATCACCAAAAAATAAAAACAGAAAGTTAAAAGTGATTACTTATGGAAAATTACTGATTCTGATAGGTGCTTTTGTATGATTTGATTTTTTTTCATAACAAATATGCACATTACTATACTTTTATAAAATTAAAAACTTTAGGTATGAACAAAAATCTTTAATTTTTGTTAAAATTCTTGAAAAATTAGGCATGTTTTATTAACTTGACATTTATTTCTAGGTGCTCTTCATAGCTGTTGTGCCTGGTAGGTTCACATCCTGTGCCGGGTAGGTTCATTGTCAGTTTTTGCTGACAAAAAGGGGATTTGGAGCCTTTGATAGATTTTACAGACCTTTATTGCTGAGAAAGGGGACTATATACCCAAGCAGGCAGATGGAGGAAGGGAGACTCCAATACTCTCAGAGGTAGAATAGTAACTGCTCTGCCTAGCCCCCTTTACCCTGTTGAGTGCCCATAGCCACACGCCGTTGCAAATGCAAGGGCCATCTGTTTGTTAGATGTCCCAATGGTGGAAAACATAACATTTCAAAGTATGGGCTCTCTGCTATGTGGGAGGTGAAAAATAGCCTGATTAACTAATTTTTCTTATAATATCTCCTTCAGTATTAGTTTTCTCCCAATATCAGAGGGATTCATGGCTTTCCTACCCCTGCTTCCTTCCTCTTTAATGAAGGAAAATCCCAATGGATTATAATGTAGGGTTATTGGGGACTTGGTGGTGGGCATGGTATGGTAATACATATATGTATGAGGTGTGAACCTATACCCCTAGAATATATACAATGCTGTAGACCAACTTTACCAAAATGAGCATAATGAAAAAAAGTTGTTTTTCATTCCTCATTCTTGATCATCATAGATTAGCCTGTGCTTGATCCCATTCTAAAAATACTTTGTTCTTGATTCATAGTAAAATTTAGTAGTATTCTAATAACTGAAATGCCTTTCTTCCTCCTGTTCCTATCCCTGCCAAAATATTCAATGTGCCACTTCATTTAGAAAGACAAGATGGATAAGTTTTATGTGCATAAATTTGTTTTGTTGCTTTTTCATCTCAAAAACAGGGTTTTGTTGATCAGACTTACTCTGTAGTGTCATTATAGTTCATACAAAGTACCCAGTGTGATGAATTTATCCCCTTTAATTTTCATCCCCTACTCCCATTCTCTACTCATCTTGAGAACTTTTTTTAAATGAGCTCAAAGGAATTAATTTATGTTGACAGACTCTCAGGCACTGGGATCGGTGGAGAATGATTATTTGGGAATGTGAGAGGATGAAGCCTTCCCAAGGGACTCAAATTAGGTCATTTTTACAGGGTTGATTTCATTCTTTTTATGATTCTATAGTTACCATTAACTGGGGCTATAATCAGGATGGGCCTTGCATTGTTATTTTCTGTTAGAAATACTCCTTAACTTCATTTAAACAGTATTTAGAACAACATCGCAAGCTTCTGTTTAATAAATATTATTGTACAGTGCAATGATAATGATGATGTAAAATTTCTATAGGCTCAAGGATAAGGATAGAGGAATTAATTATCACATACCTTAATTACAGTTTCACAACAGATAAAACACACATCAAATTATTTTGACAGTTTTATACCATCAAACATGTTGGATGTGGGCAAAACAAAAGTAGCCTACAATTAACCAAAAACTATTTATATTATTAAATGACATACGCCAGTAACATTACATAAGCTACACAACAAAGAATGTGAACTTCCAAGAAGTACAGCACAATGTTTGACATTTATCTCATTTATTCAATAAATTTTTTTCCCAAAAAACCCTAAAAGATTATTAGTATTAACACTCACCCTGATGTTCATTCCTTAATGCAATGTTTTTCTAGGTATAGAAAAAAGTTTACCTTTCTATAAATTAAGGCACATTTTGCAGTATATTTTTCAATTTTCTTCCCATAAGTATTGTAGGGCAGGAATGGCCACTGAGCAGGTTTTCTATGATCCAGCAGACTGGGTAAAGGAGGAGTCAGAGTCCTCAGTGGTTTTTGTGGGTTTTTTATTGGGGTTCACTAGGCACATGGCAGGCAGGGGTGCTGGGGGGCTGGGAAGCTGGCAGTCCTCCCAGCCCCCAGCAAATACGCACTCTCTCTGGCGTTCTCTGCTTCTGCTTCTTTGCTTCTCTCATCGGCTTCTTTCTCAGCTTCTGCTGCTGCTTTCTCGGCTTCTTGGCTTCTACTGGCATCCCCGTGACACCACCCTTAAAAGCACAGTCTTAGCGCAGGTGTACCCACTTCAGGTGCCCGCCATCAGGCATGCATTCAGGATCACAGGGTTCCCTCTATCCTGATGGCGGGAGGGCAGAAAAGCCTGATTTTTTACCTTATCCTACAAGTATGAAATTTCTTTTTCTTAATTTTTTTAAATTTTTTTTTTAAGATTTATTTATACAAGAACTGGGGTACAAGCCAGAGGCACTGGAGGGTGAGAGAATACACCAGAGACAGAGAGGGGAGCAGAACAGGCAGACAGACTGAAAACACTGCTGAGGGGAGCAGCAGGTGAGAGAGGAGAGGTCTGCTGTGCCATGTGGGTATCTCCCTGGCAGGCCGGGAATTGAACCAGCGCTGCAGAGGCTGCGGACAGCTTCACAGCGCTGTGCTCAACCTGCTGCGCCACTGGGGATGCCCAGTATGAAATTTCTAGTAAAAAGATGACAGAATATATTGAATTGAAATCCTGAAAAATAGTGTAGAGTAAGTGCTGGTCAGGCTTTTACACTGCTGGTTTCTGGCTATAACCTGTGGCCTTGAATGCAGGAGGCACTTAGGAGCTAGGCCCAAGGCATGCATGCCTGATGGTGGACACCTGGAGCATGGTGTGAGCATGCATACGTGTGCACACCTGAGCATTGGAGGTCAAGGCTGTAAAGGCAGCATCACACAGAGGACAGTGGGACCGCTAGGAGAGAATGCCAGAAACAGCAGAGATTCTGCCTGGGCCAGGAGGCTGGTGGGCCCTCCTCCTGGCCTCTCAGCTCCCCTGCATGCTCTGCACCTGCTTGCCTCACTACAAATGGTGTAGAAAGACCATTAAAAGCCTGAAAAAGCCACTAAGGGCTCCAGGGCTCTCCTTTACCTATCTCCCAAATCAACTGTCCTGTGATTGCCAGGCACTACAAGCAGAAACTGGGTTCTATTTTTTTTTTCTAATTTTCGCTTGTACTTTTAAATAGAATCAGGACCTTCATCTGGATCTCATATATGAGTTCAATATACAAAACTCATACAGCTGCACTATTTCATTTATGCTGTTAGGCCTACACTTTTTTTTATTTAAATATTCATTTTGGAAAGTCTCCCCCAATAGATTTCAAACAACCTGGGAGCAAGACGTGTTTGGCTTAACATTTTCCAGCAACATGTTCAATATCTTGCTCGTTAATTTTGCTTAGAGATTTTCTTCCTTTTCTGTAGTTATCTTACACTTGATTTAAAATAACTTCAAAAATATTAAACATAGAAGTAGCTACCCTTCAAAAATCTACTTCTCACCTTTACTACTTGTGATCTCTAATGGGAAGCAGAAACAAATCCCCAACAAAGCAGCGAAATATAATGAAAGAAAAAGGAACACGGCCTTCTGTATTACACGCAATACAAAAAGATAATTTTTTTGAATAAAAACGTCATGTAATTTGTGCTGCAGCTACTCAACTTTGTTAAAAATAAACACGATTTTTTTAATTGGAAGCAGTTTAAGTGTGACCCCTCGCTCCGCCGCTCGTGGCGACACCGACCGAGATCAAGCAAGCTGCGGGCGGGCCTTACCAGGTTTACCGTTTCAGCTTGTAAAAAACAAACAAACAAACAAAAAAACAACCCCCCCCCCCCACCGCGCGGTTGTTCAGTCAGGTACACCGAAAAAGACGGCCTCAACTAACCGTTTATTCTCGCAGCAGGGGAGACGGGGGTGGGTGTCGCCTGACTAACATCCGCCATTTTCCCAAAGCCACGCCCCGAGCCCCGGCGCCGCCGGCCGCCGAGGGCGCCGCAGCACGACGGGGGCGGGGCCGCGGCCGTAAAGCAGCGTCGCGAGACGACGTGAGCCCAGAGGCGGCACCTGCGTCCTTGGAGGTGCCCAGCGCGGCGGGTCATGGCCGGCCCCACGCGGGGCAGTGGGACCAAGGCCCTGGACCTGCTCCGAGCCCTGCCCCGTGTGAGCTTGGCCAACTTGAAGCCGAATCCAGGCTCCAGGAAACCGGTAAACGGCTGGTGGCGGTGCGGGGACGCACAGGGGGCGGGGAGCGATGGAAGCGGCCCTGGACGCTTTCAAGGACTTTTTTGCAGAACGGTGTTGGGTGAGTGTAGGGTTGCCGAGCCCAGGTTCTCTGAACTGCTCAGTGGAAAGTCCTCCCACGCGGCCCCACTATTTAATAAGGTTTATATTTGAAAGCAGACTTAGGTTAATTAGGGCGAAGAAGGGAAACCTCAGAAACTACAAAATGATTGTTTGAATGAGTATTTCACTAGCGTTTTTTTCATGGGAATGATGTGAATTGATCTGTTGCGCTAGATGTCTCCTGCAAATCTCTGAGCCCGGCTAGAAAAGCTGTCCTTTAAAAAACCAATTCGTTGCTTTCGTGAAATAACAGGAAATACATTAAGAATATTTTCATTATAAATTCTTCTGTAAATAAAATATTACAAATACCAGTTATACATTTATGATTAATTCCAAAATAAATTTTCTTGAAAGTCATGTGAAATTTGTTGTGGGTGTTTAATATTAAGATTTTTTTCAATTCCCGCCTAGAGCACTTATCCTCTGCTTTTGAAACACAGCTTGCACTTTGGTTACCAGAATTAACCAAATCTGGTTTGGTTTTTGACCCTTCAGAGGCAAAGATGCTAATTTATACACATATAATTTATATGTGGATGTTAGAGACGCTAGAATGATGATTGACATGTTTCTACTGGTTGGTTGGTTGGGTGAATGAATGGCATAAAGGATACTCAGAAGAGGCAAAATAAATGTAAAAAAAATGCATTAGCAGATCATACAACTTTTCTTACCTGTAGGAAAGACGCCCAAGAGGACGGCGAAGAGGTAGAAAATGTGGCAGAGGCCATAAAGGAGAAAGGCAGAGAGGAACCAGGCCCCGACTGGGCTTTGAGGGAGGCCAGACTCCATTTTACATCCGAATCCCAAAATATGGGTTTAATGAAGGGCATAGGTAAGGTTGCTTTGCTTTTCAAAAATAAAAATCCTTAATTTTCGCTAAGAATCACCTTAAAAGTAGCTTGGTAGAAATTGAATTCACTTTGAAGCAAACTTTTGCTACTGTTCCTCTGAACCTTTTTTACTAGTGAGATTTAACTAGATTACTGGGAGAAAATGCTCAGACATTGCTCAGTCTTGAAAAATGGAGATGATAATGCCTAGCTCTCATCATGGTTGTTTAGAGGCTTAACAACAGTATATATAACAATCTGGCTCATAGTCACTGAGCAAATGATAACTACTGTTAACTTTAAGTTCTACTAAATCATAGATACAATCATTGTATTAAATTTTCTGCAAATTTGTGTGGAAGAGTGATGCATTCTTAGAAAGGCAAATTATTTTTAATGGAACAAAGGAAATTGGTTTTATTACCCAAAATGAAGCAATATTATATGTCTCTGTGTACTCAAGAGGGATTTATTTCATTAAACCATCAATTGATGGAGAAAAATAGGACAAGCTTTGAAGTTCACTTGGAGAATTTACAGACAACTAAGTTTGACTTGAATATTTCAATGGTTACTTTCTTGTTTTGTAGCTTCAGACGCCAGTATCAACCTTTGAGTCTCAACAGGCTTCAGTATCTTATTGATATGGGTCGAGTTGATCCTGATCAACCTATTGACTTAACCCAGCTTGTCAATGGGAGAGGCGTGACCATCCAGCCACTTAAAAGGGATTATGGTGTCCAGTTGGTAGAAGAGGTAAGTCTGGATTAGATTTTGGAAAGCCGGCGTGCTCTCATCAAGGACCCACTTTCCCCTGGTCCTGTCATCCTTGTTGGTTCCCTGCTTAAATGTCACCAGAGTAGGAAAATCTTTTTTGACATCCTTTTATAAAAGAACAGTCCCCACAGTCATACTCTACCTTTCTCTGTCCACGTTATTATATTTAAATATGTGAACACCTAACGTTTTTTACCAAGTAATGCTTTAGTTTTTCATTATCTTCCTTGCTGTAATGTAAGTTCTTTGAGAGCAGGTACTGTGATTAATTACTGTATTTTCTGTACTGGGGCTATTAGTTCATGATAGTTACTCAGTGTTAAAGGGGGAAAGGAATGAATCTAACCCAGTTCTAATGACAGTAAAGTTTTCTGTTTATAGGGTAGGCCAGGAATTTCATAAACAAACTTGTATGTTGTTAATCAAATGTTTGTTAATCAAATATCCTGTTCTCTTTTGTCAGTAGTATAGCTGTATAACTTAATGACCACTAGAGGGAAGCAAGTGTTTATGGAATACCTTTTATATTCCTTTGAAACAAAGTGAACCTTTGATAAAACTTTCTAAATAAAATGATTTAAAAAGAATGTCAAATATTTGAGTAGGCCTTAATATTCTACTCTGGCTTGGCGGGGGAGAGGGGTGGTATATATAAGGCAATCACTTGTAAATTGACATGGAAAAGTCCTTGACTTTTAAATCGCATATCCCAGTAGCTTTTAAATGTGTTCGTTAGACTAGAAAAATAATCCTGAAAGCTACTTGGGCAGTGGTTGAGTAAGTATAATTACACATCATTCATAACTCTGTAAGTAGGTTGAGCTTTTTTGATTTTTCAGATTTGCAAAAAATAGTGGATAATAATTCAGCATAAAATTACCATTTGGGACTGGGTGTTTCCAAGGAAAAACAAAATTAATCTAACTTATATAAGGATATTCCTAAACATACTTTTAAAAATACTGAAAATGCTGGAACTAGTCCCAGTGCATAGAAAAGTAATTGAACATCACAAATAGTATGGCGAGGCCTATTCTGCTGAAAGTGCCATTGATTATTAAAATATATGCCAATATCACAGGTATGTAGCGCTGTCTGTGTGTTAGGACTTGTGCCAAGTTCTGGGGACTGGAGACAGGAATAGTATTTCATTTTTTAGTGTGGAATCTTCCAGGAAAGGAAGCCTTAAATTTTTGTCAGTTTAGAGGCCATAATATGGTCTATAGTGAATGCAAAATGAATTTCTCTTGTCTTCTACCTTTTCCCTTACAGGGTGCTGACCTCTTCAAAGCTCAGATATTATCAGATATTTTGCTCTTTGGTTCCAGCCTACTGATCTCCTTTTAACTATCTTTTGGTTTCTTTCTTACTTAGGGATAAGAAAAATAAGTTTTTATATATATTGTACAACATAATGTGTAAGTAAGAACACAGATGCTACCACTGGACTCCCTGGGTTAGAATCCTAGTTTTGTGATTTTGGGAAAGTTACTTAATTTCTGTGTTTTAGTGATCTCTTCTATGTAGAAGTTGGTTTAGTAGTAATTTTGTGATATGGTTATGAGGATTAAGCAATTCACTATTAATGTAGTATTGAGAATGAATGCATCTATTAATATCTACAAAATACATAAAATGAAAATATAGTCATCCTTGCTTAGTAGATGAAAATTGGTAAAGCAAGATGGCCTAAACAGTATAGAAATTTTGGGTCTCCATGGTGGTGTAGGGATTGTCTCAGTGCTACCACTGTGAAGGCATAGTGTTCAATCCCCCGGCCAGGGAATTAACCCACATGGCACAGCAGACCTCTCCTGTTTCCCCTGCTGCATCCCTTAACAGTGTATTTCAGCAGATCTGCCTGTTCTGCTCTCTATCTCTGGCGAATCCTCTCACCTTCTGCACTTCTAGCCTACACCCAGTTCTTCTATGCAAAAATAAATAAAATCTTTTTTTAAAGAGTATAAAAATTTTATGTTTGTTTGACCTAAAACAGGTATTGGAATTACTGTTATGTTTTAGGTACTTTAAAGGAAAGAACACTGTACAGAGGAAGCTTGTCATAATTTACTTGTAGCTCAGTTATCTACTAACAGACTTTATTTTGACATATTACAGGGTGCTGACACTTTTACAGCAAAGGTTAATATTGAAGTACAGTTGGCTTCAGAATTAGCCATTGCTGCAATTGAAAAAAATGGTGGCGTTGTCACTACTGCCTTCTATGATCCACGAAGTCTTGGTAAGCTTATTCTGCAGTCATTTTTTTTTCTCCCTCTTTATCTCATACTGGCTGCCATACAAGAGTTTTAACATTTGTCCTCATGGCCCTTTGACTTGCAGTTTGAATGCTTGAGTTTTCTTTTTCAGGATTTGCTGTTAGTGGTATAGCTCCATTTTCTTATATATCCCAAAAGGTTTTGTATTTAAACACGAGACTTACATATGATCTTATATATGTTTAGAAATTCACTAATCATTGGTAACCCAGGAGTAACTGATTTTCACATGCAATCTTTTGAAAATGAAGTGTTTTCATTTGCTTACTTAGTCTTTTTAATAAGAAAAGTTCTTAGTATTAAGTTCTCATCTTGGCAATATTTAAAAATTACTTAAAATCATGTAAAGCAAAGTTATTATTTGCGACTCCTTTTTTTTTTTTTTTTTTTTTTTTTTTAGAAATTCTGTGCAAACCTGTACCATTCTTTCTGCGTGGACAACCCATTCCTAAACGAATGCTTCCCCCTGAAGCCCTGGTCCCATATTATACGGATGCAAAAAATCGTGGTTACCTAGCAGATCCTGCCAAATTTCCTGAAGCAAGACTTGAACTTGCGAAGAAGTATGGTTATATTTTACCTGATATCACTAAAGATGAACTCTTCAAAATGCTTAGCACTCGAAAGGATCCAAGGCAGATTTTCTTTGGTCTTGCTCCTGGGTGGGTAGTTAATATGGCAGATAAGAAAATCCTAAAACCTACTGATGAGAAGCTCCTCAAATACTATAGTTCATGAATTCCCTTCCGAGAGAGGAGAGTTATAAGAGTACTGGAAAAAGAACTGAAATATATGTATTTCTCATTGCATTTTCTTAATTTGTAATTACTCAGATGTTGATGTTAATTTTCTGTGTAATATCTTTTTTCATTTTTATCTAATTAAAAATGCAGTAAGCAAGGACTGCATAAAGAACCTGAATCTGTGTGGATTATATCTCAGTGAAAGGTATTAAAACTCCCTGGTTTTCTGCCAAAGAAAGATAATAACTTGTAATATTTCTTATTGATATATTTCCATCAGGTCTTATTGTAAATCAGAATGTATGCATAAGTGAAATGGAATTGATGTGTAGGTCTGCTTACTCAAGGTTAGAGCAGTTGCTAATGAGCCGGTGGCACTTATTCAGTTGCTCAAGGAAGCTTTGCTTGCGAATCTGTCAAGGTGGAAGGAGTCTGTATGATTAGGATGTGGAATGCAAGTTTAAAGTTTAAGACTGGGGAACAGCTCTAAGTACCATATTTATTTGAAAAATTGAAACCAAAACTAGTGAATTCATTCTCTCAACTTTATAAACTGATGTAATGACTAAGTGATTAACCTAATTGATGTAATTTTGCTTATTTCATAAATAAAGACCTTTATCATTCAGTCATTTTAAATGACTGAGAAAATTGTTCAATGATTAGATAAGCCATCAAAATAATTGGCAATGTGACAGTTAAATTCAGTTAATGTAAAAGATGGAGCAGTCAGTAAGCTTATTTAGCTTTTCAGAGATATGCTATGTTTAAACCATATGCAAGCTTAATTTATCACAATACAATTACATCTTGAATAATTCATAATTCTTCCCAGCAGAAATGATTGCTGTTTATTTTCTTAAAATAAAAAAATTTAAAACCTAAATGACCAGTATTTTATTTTGTTAACTTATCTGTCTCTCATGTTGCTGATCTGTTAGTCATTTTGTAATATATGTACCAAGAGTATTTCAGTTTTTATCTAGGGTTATATAGTTTGGCTTGATACTAAGCCATTTTTTACTGTCCAGAACTTGTACAAATTATTAGTAGTCCTTTTTTGATAGCTACCTATGAATTTCAGAGGACAGACAAAAATGAAAAAGCATATTTTTTTTTTATTTTTCAGAGACCCTCAATGACAATGTTGGGGTGGTTGGATTAGTTTTGACTCCAAGTCACAATGGCTTGAAAGAGAGAAAGTTTATTTTTCTCTCATAGATAAAATGTGAGATTAGTTCAGGGCTAGTGCTGGCTCTGATCCAACAGTGTTCCAGACACTATGATTTCTTTTCAGCTCTCCTATTCTAGAATTGAGTGATCATCTTCAGGATCTAGACAGGGACCTGCAAAGAGCCAGCTTTCCATAAAGAGAATTCCTAGAGGCTGCCACACAAATGTTATATCCCGTTGGCCCAAACTTGGACACAGTCCTTTTCTTCTGCAAGGGGGCTAGAAGTCTTTTCTTTGGCAGCTTATATTCTTAGTTAAAATATTCTATTATGGCAGAATAAGAGAGTGGAAATGTTGGACAACCGGGGGACTGACATCTGTTTTGAAATTGACCAAATTCAACATTAGGCAAATGTCAGAAAAAGTGTAAATTCTTTTATTCTTAGTAATAAATTCACCAATTTGGAATGCTGTGTTCAATAAGTTATAAAGGCCAGTAAGCTGGGTAATTCATCAATCTTGGTATAAGCAAATTGGTTTGGAAGAAGAGTAATGACAAAGCATTGGAAACCACCTTTTGTACCTACTTTTCCTTTTTGACATTTTGACAGTAAAGCCTTCTTACATGCCTGTGTTAGGCATGTAACATAGGAAATACATGCAGGAAGAGAGATGAGAAATTGCAAAGAAATACCAAGGTACCAAGAAAATGTTTTTAAAAATGTTTTTAGTGATTATTATAGTGAACTAAAAGGAATAGGACACATTTTCTTTTTGGAAAATCTCAGCTAGGAAGCATTCCCACAAACTTTTTGATATTATGTAAGTAGTTCATACTTATTTTAAAATTATGTAATATTCAAGTGTTCAAAGTAAAAGTCCAGGGCCTCCTGGGCCCTGGTGGGTGGTGGCTCAAGGGATTAAGACTCAGCACTGTGAGACTGTCTGCAGCCACTGCAGCACAAGTTCAATCCCTGGCCAGCCAGGGAGATACCCACATGGTGCAGCAGGCCTCTCCTATCTCGCCTGCTGCTCCCTTCAGCAGTGTATTTCAGTCTGTCTGTTCTGTTCCCCACCCTGTCTCTGGTGAATCCTTTCACCTCCCCGCATCTCTGGCCTGCACCCCAGCTGTTGTATGCATAAATAAATCTTCAAAAAAAACCCAATAAAGACCGGCAAAGTAAAATTTTCTTATTGGTGCCTGGACTACCCTCTTCCCAGAGGTAACCAAATCACAGTTAGCTTGGGGTCTTTTTTTTTTTTTTTTTTTAATCAGAAAAGAGACTGCTGCTCTGTAGCTTATTCCATCTACTATATATAAAGATTTATTTATGCATACAAGAACAGTGGTGTAGACCAGAGGTGTGTGGGAGGTGAGAGGATTCACCAGAGACAGAGTGGGGAGCTTAACAGGCAGATTTACTGAAATACACTGCTGAGGGGAGCAGTAGGTGAGACAGGAGAGGTCTGCTGCGCCATGTTGGGTTATCTTCCTGGCCAGGGATCAAACTCATGTTGCAGTGGCTGGTGATTGCTTGTTAGTGCTGTGTCTTTTACCCCTGCGTCACCAGGGATGCCCTACATCTAATATGTTTAAAAGACGTTTTTTGAGTATTTTCCATTGGTTATTTAAACTTAACTACCTTCTTAAAGCCGTTTGTTATGATCCATTAGACAAGTCACTTCCTTAACTTTAAAAAGGTGCCCTAACACTATGTAATACAATAATTGTGTAAAGTGAACTAAAGTTTCTTTCAGCTAAATACCTTAATGATAAAGATGTTGCCTTGGGCTAAAGAAAACTTTGACCTCAGCCTATTTGCATAGAAATGAGCTTACTTAAATTTAAATATATCCTGTATCTGGGCAAGATGTATGCAAACAAGCACAAGGGTAACCATTTTTATGTGTGTCAAGTATGGGGCATCACTCTTGTTAACTTGTTACTTCAACTTATCAGAGCTTTTCCTTTTGTGATTTGGTTCACAATTGTCCTTTGGTGGAGTTGGTATTACCTCAACAGGAAAAGTTCTTAGGAGGAAATGAGGGAGGAAGTTGGTCACCTAAAGGTAGATGACACGTGTAATAGTCTTCTAGTCTCGGAAAGGACTTTTCAGCCTCCCCTTGGCACCCCCCCCCCCCCCCCCCCCGCCCACTCTTCCATGTAGAATGCCTAAGCTATCCTGGGCAAAAGTTACGCATGGAAAAGGAGACAGGCAAACACAAGACATTCTTAATTGTGGCTGTGTTAGGTGTCCTACAGGTGAAAGGAAATAGGATAAAATGGTTAAGGAAAGACTGAAAACAGGAAACAGATGTTTTGTTATGTCTAATGCTCGGATAATGCTTATTCACTGAGCAGGGACTTAGTCACCAACAGCTGTATCCTGGTCTTAATCTCATAATGGTTCAGATAATTTTCAGCTAAAATGTTTCACAAAATTTCCACATTCTGTTTTACAAAGGCAATCCTTAAATTGCTGTGTAGAGTTGAAGATTCAAGTTTATTTTAATTATGTAACAATGCAAGATTCTAAGGTAACAATTGTTACAGCTATGTAACTGCTGGATTCTAAGGTGCTGATATAACATTGGTCAGTGCAGTGTGGGTGGTAACTTTATTTTGTTCAGAGTTCACATTACTTGGAAATCTTAGGTATAAAAGTAAGATACCGTTAGTCCAGCTCTTAGTCCATTGCTGGTGCATATTTTCAGTATACGTGGCCTGTTTTGTCCAAGACCAGAAAACTCCTCTAGTAATTACTGTGGATTTCCTGTTTATTGTGTTGTGTATTTTCCTTTCTAAATTCTTTATTTGGTAAATGGAGTAACTGCAATAGTAGAGAAAATGCCAATAATAGCAGAGCAACCCAACTTAGTTTGTCAGAGAATAAAGTTACATTTGTGCTCTCTGTTAATACTTCAGATGCTTTACTGGAGAGACACTGGTGGAAGTAGCACAACTTCCACACCATTAATCTGCATTCTAATCCAGATTTATCTCAGCTGAGTCACCTTGGACACCATGTAGCTCAGTTGTTTGTGAAATGGGCATAAAACCCATCTCTTTCTGTGCTTGGGTTATTATCTTTGGAGAGGTATCAGCATGGAGAGCTGGTTTGCAGAGCCTCTGGAATAGTGTCTATTTGGATTATATTCCAATGCTAGATTTGTGACTGTTGCATGTTATTTAACCTTTCTGTCCTCAGGGTCCATCTGAAAAATGGAATGAGAATAGATCCTAATGCATATAATTTCTATTCGTAAAGCACTTAGCACAACGCCTGGCACCTAAGTGCCTCCGTAAGTTTTTATGAAGTAAACATCTTCTAGGTCCCTCTTGTGGAGTTGTTTTAGAGTCGTTCTACAGTTGAACAGAAAGGCATGCTAAACTTTTTTTATCATTTTTATCAGGGCCTTCTGAGGAAGTAGCATAGTAGAAATTAGAACCAAAATTAGGAGGATTGAGTTGTATTTCAATGACTTTCAATGCTGTATATTGCAACAATCTGCAAAAACACAACTTGGATTGTGATAGGAATACATTAATTTTAATTATAGGTCTATCTGGGAGATATTTTCCTCTTAGTGATATTAAGTGATCTAATCCATGAATATGAGATGTGTTTTATTTGGGACTCTAATTTCTTCAAATAATATTTAATACAAGTTTTGTACTTTTTGGTTAAATTGTTACCTGAGTAACAATTTTTTTAAAAGATTTATTTATTTATGCATATAAGAACTGGGGTACAGGCCAGAGGTGCAGTGGGTTGAGAGGATTCACCAGAGACAGAGTGGGGAACAGAACAGGCAGATCGACTGAAATACACTGCTGAGGGGAGCAGTGGGTGCGGCAGGAGAGGTCTGCTGCACCATGTGGCCAGCTCCACCACAGGCCTGGTTCAAACCCGCACTGCAGAGGCTGTGGACAGTTTCACAGCACTGCGCTGAACCACCTGCGCCACCAGGGAGGTCTAGTAACAATTGTTTTCAATG